AAACATTTATGAATGATCCATTGTTACTAATATTTCATTTTCGTTATAATTTTACACAAAATAGCAATTAGGAGCAACTTAGAGCAATGAAACTCAGAAGCTATCGCATCATGCTTAGGACTTGTATCTACTGTATATAGTAGTTGTATATACTAGTCAGACACGGTATTATATAACTACAGCGGAATCTGCTTATTATGATCACTTTAGAACTTGCAAGGTTTGATAACAATAGCCGGCTAATAACATTAAACAGAAGACAAAAAATTTTCATTGTTGAATTGAATTGCTTAGAAACAATTATGACATTTATAAATTGTATATCCTACGTCATCTTTTCAGCAACGTATCCATCTCTATTCACCGCCCCAGTATGTTTTGAAAAGCTCCAAGGAAGGCTCTGCGTGTTTCCAAAGAAACACTGATACGAACAGTGAAAGAAATAAATTTTGAAGAAAAAGTTCATTGAATACGAATTTCTTAAGAATTTTCATCGTTTCTTCCCAAATGTAATTATCACAATTAATTACAACTATGATGCCCGATTATAATAACAATAACTGTTTAATAACGTTATTCATATTTACACTAACCATTTCTACTGTACATTCTGAACCATTAATATTAAAGAAATATGTAATTTAAATTGTTTAATAACGTTTCTGATTTACATTTTCCGTGGAATTATTGTATTTCAGATTAATTCATCCGTCATAGGACTTCCTGCAGACAATGATATAAGGGATCGAACATGTTAAAGAAATGACGACTTTCTTCTTCCCTTCTTACAAAGAAGCTTTCTTTCTTCTTATATATTTAAGAAGATTTTAGATTGCCATCTAGTGGAAGAATAAAACCATTTTTAAATATCATTATCATCGTTTCTCTTATTTCTATCATTTTGTGCTAGTATTAGTCTGTAGATTTGAAACTATAGAAATCAGAAATCTTTTTGAAACGCGAATTGAAAATATTATAAATGCTACTCTCTCCGTTTGAAAATATGACATACATTTTGAATTTTTCCTGTTCGAAAATATAATATACATTTATAATTTTAATTGATCAGAATGATTTTATTTATGAAATAGTTACGTATCTAGTAAAACAAAAAATAATACAATAAGTTTTAATTTAACGAGGACGTTGCAGACTTTACAGCTTCTACGGAACATGATAATGTTATTTATAATCGTCCCTGACGACGAAGTTTTGCCTTATTAACGTGCAGAATCTTATACTGAAACAATTTTTAGAGTAAATCATTACGTTGGTTAAGTATGAATTGCTTTGATTTGGGATCTCTTCTTTAAAATTCAATACAGTTTTTATCAAAATTCGCCATTTTGTAAGAACAGCGGGTTACTTTAATTTGTCTGAAGTACGTGGTCTTTTTCTGTCAATCACTTTTGACATATATGAAGCTATTTCTGTACCATTTGTTTATTAGTTGCCTAGGAACCAGTTATTTAAAAATAAAAACAAAGAAATCGAGATAATATTAATTTCGTGAATCCCACATTTTTTAAGAGAGTATAATGTAACAAATAAAATAAATATAGTATAATATAATAATATATGTAATATTATGTTAACATTATTTATATGCAACATCAAATTTCAGAAAGTAAAAAAGTAAAAAAAGACAACATTAATTCTCACATAAGAAACATTGCTGACTCTATACTAGTGAATTAAGTTTGAATCGTATCTTTTATCGTCATTGATGTAGAACGTATATGTTTTGTTGTGAATTGTAGAATGCTTTATAACTCATAGTACAATTATAAAGATGATGATTCAACGCAAATGCAAAAAAAACCTTCCAGAATGTTCCCTTAACTGCATATATGATACAAGAGAAAGAAATAAAACGATCACGCTGTTTTCTCTCTCTCAAAGTGACTATATATTCCAAATTGTTTTATACGAAGAAACATGTGTATCTACATATTAAGTGCATAAATGGTTTTAAAATACAATATCGAATTGTATCTATAATGATTTCCATCAAAGACAATCGCCCTTGTAAATTTGTTTTATACGAATGAGTTAATACTTTAAAAAAAGTAGAAACATAAACCATGTTTATGGTTTTCTATTCACGTGTACATAACGAATTTTCAAATTCGATAACCTGGAAAGCGAAGCATCATATGAAAAGTATTTGTTTTATATTTTCGACTTGGTCTTGCGTGTAGAACAACCACTTGCTCGTGAAAAATCGTGGTTAGTACACGGTTGAAATTTAAACTCAATTGTTTCGAAAACGAAGCGAGTTACGAACTAAATTTATTCTACATTTCCAACTTACATTTTTATGCAAAATTGCTGTAGTTTATGTTGAGATACTGATGATAATAAGGCACCACGCAGATCCGTATAATGGAACGTTAATATAAAACTACATGTAAAATATCATTTCATGAATATTTAAAAATTATCTTTCGCAATTAAAGTCCATGATAATATTTTTTGACATAATAAGAGCTGCGAATGGACAAGTACTGAAATCTGTTTAGATATAATTTAGTACGGAATTTAAAAGCTATATGAAATTTTCAGTACTGAAAACATAATGGAAAATGGGTAAATGATTTTTAAGATTGAAAAACTCGATAAGAATCGATTATAAATGTCATACGATAGTACAAATAGATAGTATTTAACACTAAAACTACCGAGCAGTTAAATTGACTTTTTGACATTCGTCTATAGAAACTTCAAGAACGCATCTATTGAGACTTCAATTGGTTCATAATACAGTTTGCGTATTGCTGAATCGATTTTTGAAATAATTTCTCAGAAAAATATCTGTTATCTTTTCAATAATTACAAAAATAATGAATTAAGAATTGGTCATTTTAACCGATCCGGTACGTTTAGTGTTAAAATGACAATCAAATGATTGAAGTGTAGCAAGAAAAGATTAGAAATCTTAATTCGCGCGATCTCCATGAAATATTAATACTTATTAGGTTAGCGTAGTACAGAATACCTTTCTGAAGCAATTCAGTGTCAATTACCTTCCCTTTCTCGTTCGTACTATGGATCGTAGACATCTGAACGCAGTAATGATGGCAGAGATCGTACCTCGTAATTTTAGAACAATCACTTCTATCATTCTAAATTCCGCCTCTCGTATTCTCATAATGTCAGCTCAGACCACTCCAACTTACCATCTACATCGGTTTCTTCGTGCTCATCGCGTAGTTCGTCGGCAGTAGGTCGTGATCTTCTTAGATGCGTGGAATTGTCGCAACGAAACTCATTATCTCGTGTCGAGAAACAGAACAAGCTGTCTAACCGCCGCCTTAGAGAGGGAAGGAGAGACATTGATCAATGATATGACAAATAGTACGCAAATACGATCATATCATGCGAAATTAAGTATTTAATTCGATTCAGTGAGACATGCTTTACTTTATCAAATTTATTCGATTATTTTATACGAATTATTATTCTTCTGACTTCAACGTTTTAATATGAATGGCTCTGTAAGATCGACATCGTCGATTCAAATTAAAAATTTTAATTAAGCTCATGCGACATTTAAAATAGTAGTATGCACATATAATGGAAAGCTTTATCAATTATCTTCTTCAGGAATGAAAATTTTCTGACTCTGTACATTTAAACGTATGTCTGTATGTAAAACAAAAATTGTATGTAGAAGCTTACATTTATTGGATTATATCTGTAACTTATCATTGAAATTGCGTACTTTCTACGATAACAGTGCAAATGTAAACGTCTGCCATTAACGGTGGACGGATTGTGAAGTATGTGCTAAATTTGTATGTCTAGTTATGGAATTTTACCTGAACATATTAACAAGTTTACTAATACAAGATCCCTTTCCAATAAAACTAAAAGTTCTGTAAGTATCTATTGCATAATCGAAGTTTTCAAATTGATTTATATTATATTCATAGTAATTTAATATTCGCAATTAATTACCGTTATAAATAGCCGTGGCCCATTGCAATATAAATACTGAAGAATATTAATCCAGCTTCCAACTTTTCCTAACGTTCACAATGGTAATTAACCGTAAAATGGTAATCGTAATTAAAATTGATAATTAGAACGTAGAAAAACCGTTAAACTCCCCGGCTTCCTTCATCTTCATAATCAAACATTTTTTAATCAAATATTTGCCAGTGTCGATAATTATACGATTACTAGATGTAATATTCCTTGAAAAAACGAACCGAAACGAACGCGGAGCGGAGCGAAGTTTCCGCGGAGCCCGTTCTCCACCATAGCACCATCAAAATTAACCGGTATCATAGGCACGCCATGTCACCGATTACAGGGCTCTGGAAGTTGCTTTAACGAAACTCGTTACCTGGTACCAGGGACATCTAGAAGCAGGCAAGAGGGATGCGGCGAACCAGTCGACCAAGCAGCTGTAACGGAGAAAGAAACAGGAACTCAAACAGCATGAGCCCGAAGAGAAACGAAGACTGGCGTAGGCTTCTAGTTGTGGAAGTCCGCGGGAGGGAAAAAGATGAAAACGTAGTCGCCGGGACGGAGGAGAGGTAGCATAGACATCCAGCGACAGAGAAAGAAACGTCGAAAGAAAAACCGGCTAGAAAGGGACAGGGGGAATCCAAAAGAAGACAGAGAGACAGCGATACAGAGAAAGAGGCGTATAAAAGAGGATAGTCGAAGCGATGGTTAGAGGAGGATGAGGATGAGGAGTAGGAAGAGGAGGCGGAGGAGGAGGCGGAGGAGGAGGAGAGATTTGTGAAGGTACGAGAAAGCAGCAGAGGTACCAGCAGTGGCAGCAGCAGTGCCCGGGCATCAGGGCACACAGTTTGGTTGGCGCAGGCGCTAGCCGGTAGACGGTTCCTGGTGCGGGCTGCAGGCGGTAGAGGGTAGAGAGAAGCGAGGGAGGTGGATGTCGGAGGGTGCCCGTAGGAAGTTTATCGGCGGCGAGTGGTGGTGGGTGGAAGTGGTGCCTTCGGAGGTGGGGTTGTAGGTAGATGGTGGAGGTGGAGGTGAAAGCAGGAGCATACTCCGTACACCGAGGATTTCCAGGCAGCAGACAGTCTACGGCCCGGGACAGAGGGACCAGGACCAGCCTCGGGAAGGAGAGCTTGTCGTGGACCCTCTTCCTCTTCCTTATTAATACGTGCGAGTCAACGCATTTTCGAGTGTTTTCGTGGCCTTGACGGCTCACGAGATTTTCACACCCTTCGCGAAGGATACGGGAAGACGTTCCTTTTTTTTTTCGATCGCGATTTCGCGCGATCGACCGCGGGACCTTGCTAATTCCAGTGCCGGAGTTTCGATAACCGATTCCACTTGTGTGAACGTGGACGTTTGCCGGCCGTGTATATCCGTGAGGGTTCAACAGTCAGTGGTAAAGGTGAGAAGAGCACGAAACGGAAGAAGTGGAGATGAGAGCAGTCGTTCGGCCGGGGACTGCTCGGAGCACGTGCCTCGCACGCAGAAGGCGCTCCGAGCGGCATCAGGTGCGCTAATCGGGGACCGATCTACGAAACAAAGTGAGACGAATAATAGAACGTTGCTCTACGAATCGCTCGTGCGAATCGCCGTACTCTTTTAAGCCTAGCGTCGTCTTGCTCGGACCGGGTTGTTCGTTTTTCGGGACTACTGATCAGCAGGAATGACAGGACGTGTCGTTAACGTGTCAAGAACGATCTCGATGATCGCTTTGCTGACGTTTCTTTTGATGTTTGTCGGGATCGACGGTATGGGACAGGCGAGTAGACACAATGCTGACCACGCGATGTTTCATCAAGGTGAGTCTGCGTGCACGTTTTTTCCTCGGATTCATCTATTAACGTATCTCGGGATTTAAGACAGTCTCTCGCTTCGCGAATTATTCAAGGGAATTAATCGCTCAATTAACAGGATTACCAGGTTCCTTAGATTGAGTGCGTTATTGCTCTGTATGGATCTACGATCTACTATCACGCACTAATGAGGGTTAATCGGACTTGTAATTGAACTCCACACCAGAGATTCTATTGAAACATTTGTGGAGGCGCGATACATATGGATCGTAATGCGACGAATGCGCGATCGAATTACTTGAAATAAATTCGATATATTTTGGTGGTAGTCGCTTATGTAAATATAGATTTTTATTAACGATTCTGATTTCATTAGAATTAAATACGAAGGTTTTTACGTCGCCATGTGTTCCATTATGTGTTCTGGAATTACGTGAAATGAAAACTAATTATCTCTTCAGTCAGTTTCTTATTACAAATTTCAAATAATGTGCTTCCAATTAATACATCTAATTAATTACATCTATATTTATAAAATTAGACAGTGCAAGAATATAACAACGTAGATAATATCTGTGAAACAAATAAACGCAAATAAACAGAGTGTTTCTTAAAGGTAATAACAATTAATTATAATCATTTTATCAATAATAATTAATGTAATTGACTAAACATATATTTTACATAATTTCGTGTACCGTTTCCACGAACAAATAAATTGTTAGGTGTTAAAATAGTATTATTCTCATTCTCCGTCGGCAGTAAAAATTACATCGATTCAACGATTTCATAATAGTTTGTATTTTTAAATCCATTCCCATTATTTCAGAATGATTAGTATCAATACGGTAGCTCTATGCCTCATTAAATACATTATTAGACAAACGAATAGTAACAAGTTGTACGGCGATAATAGTGACGCCATCAAACTCTTTGTGCTTGTCCTGGTTGTCGCTGTTATTTACAACGCCCTAACTACCATTGCGGTGTAAAGCCTTGCCTCACAGTTGTTCCCCGTATTATAAATATCCCGTTTCCTTAGGGCAAACGGATCCGTTTCATTTTCAACAAAAACTCACGTACCGTGCGACTAGCGAATACCGAGGACGCGCTTGGACCGCGCACGATAACGCGTATTGACAGCTGAAAACCGGGAAAATGAATTTTTCATAAATCATCAGTAAATGTCTATCGACGCTCCGCCAACCCGGCGATTCTTTACTAACTCTGCAAGTCAAAACAGCATTGCAAATCCGTTCTTATATTACATCTACCCTTCATCGAATAATGTCTTTTACGTATACAGTTAATAATGACAGATTTAGATTCTTCAAAATGTACTCAATTTTATTTTAATTAACACTAAAACTACCGGGAAATTAGAGTGACTTATCACCAATTTTTTTTATCAAAATTAGAATAATACGTTTCTTGAGATTCGAGTGGTGTCCTAGCCTTGTTTCTGTGCAAATATACGAATTTAATTGAAAATGTTTCGAAAACATGCCTTCATCATTTAAATACTTGCAATATAAAAATTCTCATGTGGGTCAGTTTGATCTGTCCGATGGTTTCAATGTTAATAAGTTACACGTGTGCGTGAAAAAGTGATGTATCTTCTACATTTGAAATTAATCCCATCGACTCCAGTGAGATTTTGAGGAAGTAAACTGCTCAAGTTCTTACTTCTAATATCAACAATAAATCGAGCAAACTCCAAGGTCATGATCGTTAGCAATCTGTAACATTCCATTCGCCGTTTGTTTATACATTGGACCACGTATTTGTTTTTATTGAAATAAAAGACCTTTAAATAGTACCTGCCAATGTAATCGCGTCAATATTAAAACTTTATCATATGCTTGATATAACAAATAATTACATGACTGGCAAAGTTATCGAATGAAACAGTTATTTGAATTTAAATCAGTAATTAATATCTACAAAAGCATATGACTTTATTTATTTTCGAAATACACACTAAGACAGTGAGATGGTTATCGCAACAAATGTTGAATTATTTCCAGGCGTTAAAGGTAATTAAAAAATTGTAATCCTTCGTGATATCTATTGTTTACACAATTGTTTACAATTTTATTAGCTACGTAGTTTATTTTTTTAAATATATTCGATTCTTCCAAGTTATTCTCCTTTTTTAAATTTATATTTTTTATTTATTCTTAAAATCACAACTTGTGTTTCTTTATATTTTTATTTATGTTCGTTCGTATATAACAAAGTATTAACTGTGGATAACGAATGGTCTTGGCGGCGTAATAATGAACTCCGAAACAATTCAACGTTAATTTCTTTTCTTATTTCATATTTTAAAACAAAATTGCTCATTGAATTTCTACATTCATATATCTGTAGGTTTTTTATTTAGTTTTATTGCTAACTTCTACAAAGTCACTCTTCAATACTATTCTTGTTTATCAGTGAAGGTTGAAATAAACTTGAATTTTATATACTGAGAAAGGATTAATGAGTAGATATGTATAAACAATATCTGTATTAATAGACCTTTGCATTGTTAACAACGTTTCGCGGTGACTTAAACTTTCATGTATAATACAATGAACATTTTCATGTTAAATACAATAATGGACGCTCATTTTTTAAACGTAATGAACATACACTATTTCACAAAATTAAAGGATCACTACGTACATTGTAATCGAAGAATTTCCGATTGAATTTTTGTAACCTTGTAACAGAATATGCATCATTCTGTTTGGGTGCATTACAAAGCGAAAAATTTCTTCTTTCGTTTCCTATATGTGATTTTTTTTGTGTAATGCTTTTCCCTTATGTAAAGCTACTTTTTCATTCCAAATTTTTTACGTTTCATACTGAAAGTATTAGGAGTACTCCTACATAACATAGCTAGAAATATTGTATAATAATTTTGTATTTAGTTTTCCTGTCTTTTTTGAAATTGTTTCATAAATGTAGTACATAAATACTGTTACTTGCTCAGTTAACACAATTTTAGTTCCGCGACGGGATAAAAATCATTCCTTTCTAAGCTTAAGTCGTGCAGCATTGAAACAATTTTGAAATTGTTTAATTTCAGAAATAGGTAATAAATCTATTATAAACATAAGCTGAAATTTGATTTATTGAAGGTCTGTAGGGAGGTTTTTCTATTGTTTTATAAGCACATTTTTCAAGTAGTGATTTGTATTCAAATAGTAAAACATAATTCATCTATTTCTGAAATTTATTTTACGAAGAAAAATAAAGAAAGAAAAAATATATAGAATAACATTGAACGTGCACAGTATTTTTTGGAAATGTATCATTATGTTTCTAGTATGAAAATACGTGATTTTCGTTTTTAGCAATTGAGTAATAAATAGTTGTACTTATTTTAACGCTTCAATATTAATCTTTATTTCTCTTCAAGTGAATTACAAGAAATGATTGACATTCGATTTTTATGTATGGTATCAACGCCTATTGTGAAAAATTATTTCTCTAATACATTTATCAAGGTTTAATAAACAAGCATATTGTTTGTTACATTTTTATCTCGAATAGTAAAATTTACTTTCATACAGCAAATGTCAACAAACGAATTCGATTAGTTTCTATTTTCAGGAAGTGAATTATGTAACAAATTATTAAATACAATTTCGGTGTGTACAGTTTATATTCAACTTAAGCTAACAGAGGCTACGAGATTATCATCTAGATTTTGTAATGAAACTAATAAAAAGTTCTGATGGAAAATTTTTGGGATAATCAGATTTAGTCGCAACATTATATATACCTTAAAAAGAACAGAGTGACATGAATAAAGTAAAAAAATCGGTAAGGAAAAATGTATAATAGTCTGGTATGTGTCAGCAATAATAAACCCTGTCACGTTTTATCCTATTATCTCTTTTATTAAATGAACATAAAGTATGTAACCAGAGTATATCCACGCAGCGCGGCGTGCAAGATGAAGCACGTGAATGTGTATAGTTACATATTTCCATTGTCTGCAGATATATGATAAAAAAACTTACATTAAAGCGTGCAAAAAATTGTTCCTAGTATCAGTTTCTTGGACTTTTCCTACATTTGCTGAATTCAGGGCTCAAACATTTTATTATTACTCTAACATATGATAGAAAAACTAAATGTTATAATGTATTATTTTTAAAGTCTTTTTATAGATTCATAGTCTTAATTAACATATCTAAGTAGCGGTATTTGTATTATTATCATTTAAGTTTTACTTTATTTTTACTCAGCTAACAGATTGTGTCTAAAGCTAATATTTGTGTGCACACTTAGTTCCACTTTTATTTATTTAATTCTATGATAGGTAGCATTTTCATTACGGAATAGTTATATAAAAATTATTTAGAAGTGGTATAGAAGAATGTTTATTCTAATATATCTTCAGGCATCTTCCTGGTTTGACAGTTTAAGAATGTGTCAATATTTGAATCTTTTTTTAAAATAAAAGTAAATAACAAAACAATTGAAAATATTTGGAGTTTACGTATGACTTCGAAAAACAGGAAAACATTTTTCCATGTGAAAGTAATAATTCTGTTTAAAATCATAGTGGATGTAGCAACACGAATCCAAAACAAATTTTTCTGCATGACAACCATAAAATCAACCACTACAGTTCTCCGAAACAAAAAAATAAACAAAGAACCCAACATCTGCATGAATGTAATAATCCTCCAAACAAGAAAAAGTAAAAAATACCGAACAATAACGAAGTCCGGAATAAATTGATTTTTATCAAAAAATTGCACATTTTGCAAAAATGTTCCAAATATTGATTTAAGATAGCTTAAACGAAGGTTTCTGCTCACCACAAAAAATCAAGTAAAGTGAATCATTGACTTGATTGGTGCATTAAAATTTTGTTACTATAGTATGGAATATGGAAGTCTATATTGTTACTAAATATTTAAATTGTCTACAGAGCACCTCAGTAATCGTAATATAACTGGAAAAAGGGTTATTTTTTTCGAAAACATAAGTCGATATTCTCG